TTTCTTTGGGCCTGGCTTACTTCACTTAATATAATTTTTTCCAAGTTTTTCCATTTCCTAACAAATGGGGCAATGTCATTCTTTCTGATGGAGCCTTGCTTATATTTCTGAGTCTGTAAATCTATAATAAGCAGGAATTTTCTGTTTAGTTTTTTGACCAGGAAAGAATTGTAGCTGCTTCATCAACAGGATGTGTAACCGTTTTCCTTCACCATCCAAATAACCAGGTAAAGCACTTCTATTTCAAACATAAAATTTTATTCTAATGATTTTTAGGGAGGTTTAAAGAAGACTGTGCTTAATAATTACACAAACAATTTTTGTAGTATTTAAACATTAAGGGAGCTGGAATAGTATATTTCTGTAGAATCAGGTATTCTATACAGTACTCTGGATGAGGCAAGATGATTTCTTAAACCAGTGAGTTCAAGACCAGATATGACCTAGCCTTTAAAGAAATAATAATAATGAAGAGGAAAAAATACTGCCCAATGTTTTAGGTGTGAGTGTTTGTGTGCTAGGAATTAAACCCAGAGCCTCTAATGTGGTATATATTCTGTTACTGAGCTAGCTATAACCCCTATCCCCTATTCTCCACTTTTTGGTAGGTGAGTGTAGAACTATATCTCTGTGCTTTCATGGAATTAGACAGCCTTTAAATACATTCCATTAAGTAGGTCTTCTAGGTAATACCTAATAGGTATTCTACTAGGTAATCTTCTTGTAATTTTTCCTTTAAAAGTGTTCAATATTTTGAAAAAGAGCATCATGTAGATACTATAAATGAAAGAGGAACAGATACTTTGCTTATTTGGGTATAACCCAGGTCTTCATTAGGAACTAACTCAAGGCTTAACCATTTTTAAAGTTCTTGTATGCTAAAGTTTTTTGTGTGATGACCTTCACAGTGGTGAGAACAATTCTTTAAAATAGCCCTTGTTGCCAGGCGCTGGTGGCTCACGCCTGTAATCCTAGCTACTCAGGAGGCTGAGATCTAAGGATCGCGGTTCAAAGCCAGCCCGGGCAGGAGAGACCGTGAGACTCCTATCTCCAATAAACCACCAGAAAACCGGAAGTGGCGCTGTAGCTCAAGTGGTAGAGTGCTCGCCTTGAGCTGAAGGGCTGAGGGACAGCGCCCAGGCCCAGAGTTCAAGCCCCACGACCGACAAAAAAAAAAAAAAAAGAGAGAGGCTTGCGGACTTTTCTGCCTGGGCTGGCTTTGATCCTCAGATTTCAGCCTCCTGAGTAGCTAGGATTACAAGTGTGAGCCATCAGCTTCCAGCTTAGTTATATCCTCTTTTCTTTAGTTTTGAAGCCTTTTAACCATCTTGTAGGTATGTGATAGAAGATAATGGCAGTGAGACCTGGAGAAGGGGTTTTGATGTTGCTTGCTTAATTGGGATCAGAATAGGCTTCTCATTTTTTATCTCCTAGTGTGGGAAGTTCACTTTCACCCATCCAATCCAGATCATCTGTTTACTTGTTCTGAAGATGGATCCCTCTGGCACTGGGATGCCTCTACAGATACACCCGAAAAGTCCTCGCTCTTTCACCAAGGTAATCATCATCAAGCTTTTTATTTGTTATAGTTCACTGCTTTTCCCTCCATTTTTTTTTCCCAGAACTGGATATTGAACTCAAGGCTTTCAGTATGTTAGACAAGCATTCTGCTGCTGAGCTATATATCAAATATGTAGACAAATTAGACATTCTTTTTTTTTAGGGCTGAGATTGAATCTAGAGTTTTGCACATGTTAAGCAGGCACTTAACATTGAGCTACATCCCAAGATCTTGATTTTTTGAGACTTAAGTCTCATTATATACCTCCTTGAATTTACTTTATAGCCCAGATTGGTTTTAAACTCCACATTCCATGCCTCAACCTCCTCCATGATGAGATAACTACCATGTCTGACTACATTTTCTTTTTTTTTTTTTTTGGTCCATCATGGGGCTTGAACTCTGGGTCTGGGCACTGTCTCTCTCAGCTCTTCAGCTCAAGGCAAGTGCTCTATCACTTCTGGTTTTCTGGTGGTTAATTGGAGATTAGGGTCTCATGGACTTTCCTGCTTGGGCTGGCTTTGAACTGTGATCCTCAGATCTCAGCCTCCTAAGTAGCTAGGATTATAGGCATGAGCCACTGCGACCTCTACATTTTCATTTTTTTTGTCAGTCGTGGGGCTTGAACTCTGGGCCTGGGCACTGTTCCTCAGCTCTTCAGCTCAAGGCAAGTGCTCTACCACTTCTGATTTTCTGAGTGGTGTATTGGAGATAAGAGTCTCATGGACTTTCCTGCCTAGGCTGACTTTGAACTGTGATCCTCAGATCTCAGCCTCCTGTGTAGCTAGGATTACAGGTGTAAGCCACCAGCACCCGGCTTCGTTTTTATATTTTTAACATTAAAAAATGTCAGAATGTTTCTATTTTCCTGTTGAGGAGTAAATTTGATTATCCTAGGGCTTGAATCATGACTTTGGCTCCTTACTACAATACTCCTGATGACTAGAAATGCTATTCTATTAACTAGCTTGCTTCAGACAGCCTAAATTCTTTGTAACTGCCCTTGATTTGGGCCCTCATGCCATAGGATAGGCATTTGTAGTTCCTTTACATTGTATTGTCAGGACAGGCTGTGTGGCAAGAACAAATCAGATTTTTTATATATAATGGTCCTGGTTTCTTCTCCATTTAAAAGGCCTGTCTTTTGATTAAAATCAACAGTAAGGGCTGGGAAGGTGGCTCAGTGGTAGAGGGCTTGCCTTGCATGCCTGAGGCCCTGGGTTTGATTCCTTAGTACCACATAAGCAAAAAGAAAAAAGCCGGAAGTGGAGCTGTGGCTCAAGTGGTAGAGTGTTAGCCTTGAGCTAAAGAGCTGAGGGACAGCGCCCAGGCCCAGAGTTCAGGCCCCATGCCCTGGCCCAAAAAAATAAAAAAATAAAAACAATAAATAAAATCAACAGTAAGTAAAACTCATCCAAAAACTGGACACTTGGATCAAGAGTTTGGTGATGGTTGTTTTATTTTATACTTTTCAAGCTTTTTAGTTTTGAAGATTTATGGTTCCAAAGTTCATTCATTCATTCAGAAATGTCTTGTTGAATGCCTACCAGAACATAAAAGTTCCTATACACACAGAGAAAATACTCTACCAGGCAATAAAAGCACCAAATGCATGATGTATCAGAAAAAGAAATGCACTGAGTACCAGGTTTTAAAATGAGGTAGTTGTACATGTTTTAGAAGGGCTCAGAAAGAGGGGAAGAGAGAACAGGAGAATGAGAGTAGGTGACAGATAGATGGAGAAAGAGATCACATAAGAGAGGGTATTAGGAGAGCAAAACCAAGAAATGGTAAAACACAGAAATCAACAATTGTTAATACCTCTTGTAATGGACTGTTATAAATGCTGCTGAAGTTGGTTCTGGTTCAGCAGTTTTCTGCTTTAAGTACCCCCCATATTATCATTGCTAGAAAGCTGGAGCAGGAAGGGCTGCTTCTGTTCTCCTCTTCCTCCTCCTCCTTGCAGCATCTCCGCTCCCCTCCCCCCAGTAGTCCTTCCCCATGGCAGGGCGCATCCATATGACAGATGGCAGAAATGCCTGGAAAGTGGAATTTTCAGATTCCTACCCCTTACAGTACATAGTGAAATACGGGAAAAGAGTAAAAGCATAAGAGGGAAATAACACAGCAAATGCACTGCTGCTTACTGTGTAGAAGAATAAAGTCGAGTAGGAGGATGGAGACTAAAGGCAGAGGACTGCAGGTGGAGCTCAGTAGTAAAGTCCTTGCTATCATTCAAGACCTTGATCACCAGCACCACAAAAAATGAAAATAGTAAAGGCAGAATGTGGAGAGCCATGCTAGAGGCTATTTGGACACATTCCTCTTCACAGAAATAACATTTAGGCAGAGACCTACAAGAAGTGAAGGTCTGAATCACCCGAATGTGTCCCAGATAGAAAGCCTGAGGCAGGGAGAACATACCAGCCACTGGCTGCGGGTCAACCAGAGAAGGGGAGTAGAGTAGTGGGAGGTAAGGACTAGTATGGAGCCACCGATCTAGTAGGAGTTTGTAGGCCCTGACAAAGACAAGATTGTATCTTCTGTGATAGAAAGATAGCAAGATTTTAAGCAAGGAGGGAGTGCAGCCCCACCAGTGGTTCCAAGAGTTACTGGCTGCTCTGGAAAGTACACTATTGGAGAGGGCAGAGGAAAGTAGGAGCTGTAGGACCCGGAAGGAGTCTTACCCCAGGAATTCTATTAATATGTTTTGGCATTCCTAATCTGGAAATCTGAAATCCAAGTAATCCAAACCTAGAACTTTTTTTAAGTTTCTACATGACACCACAAATAGAAAATTAGACAAGGGACCTTATGCAATGGGCTGTTGGTCAAAACCAAGCACAATAAAACAAATATAAAATTACCTTCAGGCTGTATGTACATGGTGTATAGGCAACATTAGTTTCATATTTAGACTGAAGTCTTACCCTCAAGATAGTTCATTATGTCTATGCAAATATTCCAAAACCCCAAATATTTCTTTCTGATCCCAAGTATTGAGGCAAAATCTGTATACTAATCTGTATATTAATTTGCACAGCATTCAATAACAATGTAAAATTTAGGAATGATAAATGATGACCAAAAACCTGAGAATAAAGTTCTGAAACACCAAAATTCTGGAGAAAGAGGCTCTAGAGTTGTATTGAGACCCCCACTCTCCCAATATGCTCCCCCTCCCCCAAATTCTAGAGAAATAGGGAGTATGGAATATGTGTAAATCTATGCTAACTTATGGAAAAACAATTTTATTTTAGTATTTAGTTAAATACTTACTTCCTTTTTTCCCCTCTTCCCCCCCACCCACCTTGTATTTGAAATTTTAAGGCTTGAAAATAGAAACTTAGAGTGGAAATGAGATTGTTTTTGTATTTTCTTTTTTTTGGGAGGGGTGGGGGGTCCGGTCATGGGGCCTGAACTCTGGGCCTGGGTGCTGTCCCTCAGCTCTTCAGCTCAAGGCTAGCGCTCTACCACTTGAGCCACAGTCCCACTTCCAGCTTTTTTCTTTTTGCTTAGGTGGTGCTGAGGAATCAAACCTAGGGCCTCATGCATGCAAGGCAAGCCCTCTACCAATGAGCCACCTTCCCAGCCCCTGTTTTTGTGTTTTCTATTATAAGACATGATATTATATACTGTTAAAAGAGTTAAATATCATGGTTCGGAGTCAGCCTAGGCAGGAAAGTCCAGGAGACTTTGTTGTTGGTGGTGGTGGTCATAGGACTCCTGGCCTGGTTGCTGTCCCTGAGCACTTTTGCTCAAGGCTAGTACTCTACCACTTTGAGCCACAGCTTCACTTCGTTTTCTGGTGGTTAATTGGAGATGAGTCTCACAGACTTTCCTGCCCAGGCTAGCTTTGAACCATGATCCTCAGATCTCAGCCTCCTGAGTAGATAGGATTTCAGGTGTGAGCCACCAGGGCCTGACTTCTTTTTATGAGACTCTTATCTCAAATTAACCTCGGAAAGCTGGAGTTAGAGCTGTGGCTCAAGTGGTAGTGCACTAGCCTTGAGCACAAAAGTTCAGGGACAGGGTCTAGGCCCAGAGTTCAAGCCCCAGGAGTGGGAGGAAAAAGTTAAATATAAAATTATGCAATCTCCTAAGAAATACTTAAGCCTATCATGCACCAGGACCTGGTGGCTCACAGCTGTAATCCTAGCTACTTAGGAGGCTGAGATCTGAGGATCCCAATTTGAAGCAACCTGGGCAAAAAGTCCATGAGACTTTGTTTTATGTGTGTGCTGGTACTGGAGCTTGAACTCAGGGCCTCATATTCTTGATTGATTTTTGTTGTTGTTGGTAGTGGTGGTGGTTGTAGGGCTTGATCTCAGGACCTGGACACTGGCCTTGAGCTCTTTTTGCTCAAAGCTAGCACTTTGGAGTGGCTCTAAAGTGGTAGACCTGGTTTTCTGGTGGCTAATTGGAGATAAGAGTCTCACAGACTTTCCTGCCTGGACTGGCTTTGAACTGAACTGTGATCCTCAGACCTCAGCCTTCTTTTTTTTTTTTTTTGGTCAGTCGTGGGGCTTGAACTATGGGCCTGAGCGCTGTCCCTCAGCTCTTTAGCTCAAGGCTATCGCTTTACCACTTCAGCTACAGCGCCACTTCCGGTTTTCTAGAGGTTTATTAGAGATAAGAGTTTCAGGGACTTTCTTGCCCGGGCTGGCTTTGAACCGAGATCCTCAGCTCTCAGCCTCTCGAGTAGCTAGGATTACAGGTATGAGCCACCGGTGCCTGGCTATGACCTCAGCCTTCTGAGTAGCTAAGATTATAGGTATGAGCTACCAGCACCTAGACTCAATTGACTTTTTTCAGGCTGATGCTCTACCACTTGAGCCACACCTCCACTTTCAGCTTTTTTTTTTTTTTTGCTGATTAATTAGAAATAAAGAGTCACATACTTTTCTACCTAGGCTGGCTTTGTACCTTTTCCTCTGATACTAGCCTCCTGAGTATCAGCAAGGATTATAGGCGTGGGTCACCAGCAACCAGTTAACCAATAAAATGATCTCCTATTAACCAACAAAAAGCCAGAATGGAAAGTGTGGCTTATATGGTTGTGCTAGCCTTGAGCTGAAAAACTAAGCCTCAGATCTGGCATACCTACACCAAAAAAAAAAAAAGTCTTAAAAGCTCTTTTTCTGTTTTCTTCCCCCCCCCCCCCCAGGAAGAACCAGTACTTTTCTTTCTCACAGCATTAGTAACCAGGCAAATGTTCACCATTCTCTTACAAGTTCCTGGCTCAGCACTGATCCTGCAAAAGACCGTATTGAGATCACAAGTTTACTGCCCAGCCGGACTTTGTCTGTGAACAGTTTGGATGTTTTGGGTCCTTGTCTTGTTTGTGGAACTGATGCAGAAGCCATTTATGTCACCAGACAACTGTTTTCCTAAAAGTACTGCAGTTACAAGATTCCAAGTAAAACATACAGTTCTCTGAATTCCACTGTACAAAATTTTATTATCAGAAAATGCAGTATTTGTGGCAAAAACATTAGTAAACTATTGTTAATGTTGATGCCCAGTCTTGACTTTCATTTTTGGATTCTTCTACATCAGTTGCTAAAGATTTTGGAACACATGAAAAAGCACCAGTGATCCTTGTGTTGATAAACATTGCCTTCGAGCAGACTATTACTGACAGCTGATGGAATTAGCTCTTCATTTTTGGTGTTGTGGTGTTTAAAGCTGTCAAACCATCAATAGGTTCTTGTAATTTGGAGTATGCCACCCCCTAGTGGCATTCAATACTGTTAATTTTTTTTCTTTTTTTAATGCAGTACTGGGAACTGAACTCTAGATTTAGTAGGCATTATTCTACCTCTTGAGTTATAATTGTCAGTCCTTTTCTCTTCTTTTCTCTCCCTCTCTCCCCCCCTCCTCTCTTTTTTTTCTTTTTATGTTGGTCCTGGGGCTTGAACTCAAGGCCTAAGTTCTTTTTTGCTCAAGATTCTTTTTTGCTTGAGCAAAAGTGCTACAGTGCCATTTCTGGCTTTTTCTCAGTACCTTATGGACTTTCTTCCCTGGGTTGGCTTTGAAACTGTGATCCTCAAATCTCAGCCTCCTGAGTAGCTAGGATTAACAGGTGTGAGCCACTAGCACCCAGCTTAGTTTGGATATTTTTGTTAACACTTTTAAAATGTAATATTCTGTCTGTGAAATGTCAGACATGTTTAAGAACTTTAATAAAATCTTTAAGCACTAAAAATGTATTCATATTTTTATATATTCTGCTTTTTAAAAATATTTACATAGCTCAAAATAATTGATTAAAAAGGCTTAGTAATTAGACTTGGAATATAGTTCAGTGATAATTAGAATACATGCTTGCTGTACATAAGAACCTGGGTTCATGGGCTGGGAAGGTGGCTCAGTGGTAGAGCGCTTGCCTTGCATGCCTGAGGCCCTGGGTTCGATTCCTCAGCACCACATAAGCAAAAAGAAAAAAGCCAGTAGTGGCACTGTGGCTCAAGTGGTAGAGTGTTAGCCTTGAGCTGAAGAGCTGAGGGACAGCGCCCAGGCCCAGAGTTCAGGCCCCATGACTGGACAAAAAAAAAAAAAAAGAACCTGGGTTCAGTCCCTACCCATCCCTTCATGAACTTCAAAAAAAGATAATTACTCATGATGTCCAAAGAATTTGGAAAGAAAATAGATGAAAAATTTTAATCTGTATAGATTTATTGCTGAGATAATTTTTTAAGACATTAGGACAAAAATCATTCAGTCCAACAAATATAAGCAAAAGAAAAAATTTCAGTATTTAAAGCTTATAACCCAAAGACAATATTCTTTTTATGCTTCTCTACCCATCACCCTGTTTATACATTTTTTTGTTTTGTTTTCTGCATTGCTGGGGTTGAGCTTAAGGCCTCTTGCATACTCAACAAAGTACCACTGAGTTAGCTCTACCTTTAGCCCATACATTTTTAAATAAAAGTGAAAATATAGTTGTAATCTTTGTAGATGTAATTGTCTAAGAATAGATTTCTCTCCTGTCACTTTGAACTGCTTAATATTGTACGGTATAGGTAAACATACATGTACCATGTTGCCTACCATTCATTCGGCATGTGTTTCTAGTTTCTCTACTGTTGGTAAGTGCTGTACTCGTTATATTTCTTTTAAAACTAGCCATTTTCATTTTCTGAGACAGTTTATTAGTTTAGTATTTGTAGCACCTTTTATCTGAAGGGTTATTTTCATTGTTCATTTTGCCTTAGGCTATTTGATGAAGTACTTTTCAATTTAGCATTTGACTTATGAGTCTCTTGGAAGTTGGAGTTTTGTTTATGGTTATTTCAATTGATTTCTTTCTCTGATTTCTGCTCTTTACACCATGCTATTCCTATTCTAGTTTTATATAAATAAATAGCTATATCAATGCCATAATTCTGTTTTACGGCTTCATCTTTTACATATGATCATCACATTGAGAATTGATATAATACGTTTGAAATTCTGTGGAGTAGGGAATTCTAGGGATTGAACCTATGCCCTTTTGTATGCTAAGCACACCTACTGCAGGACCACATTTAGCCCCTGAAAATGTGTGTGATAGGTAATTCCAAGTCATGTAATGAACCTTTGTACATCATTAGTTAACAACACACAGCCACTCTTCATGTCTGCTGCTATCATTCCCTGTGTTTATTACCCACCCTTCACCCCAGCTCTGGATTGTTTTACAGCAAATTCTAGATAAAATTTTCATTCTTGACTTTTTATTGTGTGTGTGGATGAGGAATTTTCCTCTCCCCCAATTTTAAGGATAATATTATCAGACCTACAGCATTGTTCTTGGTGTTTTTTCTTTTTTTTTGTGCCAGTACTACATCTTAACTCAGGGACCTATGCTCTTGCTTGGTTTCTTTCACATAACTACAATACTATTCAACCATAAAGAATGAAATTATGGGGCTGGGAAGGTGGCTCAGTGGTAGAGCACTTGCCTTGCATGCTCGAGGCCCTGGGTTCGATTCCTCTGCACCACATAAGAAAAAAGCCGGAAGTAGAGCTGTGGCTCAAGTGGTAGACTGCTTGCCTTGATATGAAGAGCTGAGGGACAGCGCCCAGGCCCAGAGTTCAGGCCCCACGACCGGACCCAAAAAAAAAAAAAAGGAATGAAATTATGTCATTTGCAAGAAAATGGATGGAACTAAAAAATAATACTAAGCAAAATAAGCCAGATGACGAAAGACAAATATTATACGTGAGCCTGACTTCTCACCAATTACGTTTATATTTGAATTTGTATTATATGGTTTTTTTTGTTGTTGTTGTTGGTTGTGCTGCCTGAACTTGGCCTGGGCACCATCCCTGAGCTCTTCAGCTCAAAGCTAGTGTTCTACTACTTGAGCCACAGCGCCACTTCGGCTTTTTCTGCTTATGTGGTGCTGAGGAATCGAACCCAGGGCCTCAAGCATGCAAGGCAAGCACTCTACTACTGATCCACCTTCCCAGCCCCTGTATTATATGTTTTAACTAGGTATTTTACTGACTTTTCATTAGTTTACTATAATTGAAATTTGCTTTTGTTTGTCTTACCTCAGGGGCCACAAACATTTTAATTCCTCTCATATTACTGCTTAAAACTATGTTTAGTGGCTTTTTTCCTACTAGAAGCCTTTCTAATGTCTTCAAATAGTACCTTTTAGGCAAGTTTGCTTTCCTAGCCTTTCTTGAGTGACACCTATTTTTTTTTTGGCCAGTCATGGGGCCTGAACTCTGGGCCTGGGCGCTGTCCCTCAGCTAGTACTCTACCACTTGAGCCACAGTCCCACTTCTGGCTTTTTTCTTTTTGCTTATGTAGTGCTGAGGAATGGAACCCAGAGCCTCAGGCATGCAAGGCAAGTGTTCTACCACTGAGCCACCTTCCCAGCCCAAGTGACTCCTACTTTTAGGTGGTATTTCCTTTTTTTTTTTTTTTTTGATGTTGGTCCTGGGGCTTGAACTCGGTTTGAGTGCTGTCACTGAGCTTTGTTTCACAATGCTAATGCTTTATTACTTGAGCCACAGCTCAACATTGGCTTTTCTGGTGCTTAGAGATAAGTGTCTCATGGACTTTTCTATCCTGCCCAGGGTGGCTTTGAACTTCCATCCTCAGATCTGTTTCCTGAGTAGCTAGGATTATAGGCCTGAGCCTGCAAAGCCTGGCTAATCCTTACATTTTACACACTGCATTCTTTGATCACATTTCTCTGGAGTTAATAAAGTTCATTTTTGCTCCTCACACATATCTGTATAGGAAAGGACTCGGCTCCTTCAGAATTTCTAAAGAAGCCTGTTGAAAGATGACCATCACAATAAATCTCCCAGAATTGTCTAGGCATTTCCACAATGACAATTGTTCATAGAGATACTTTTCTTTAAAGAGCTTTAAGTGAAGAAATTCCATGGATTGGTGAGTCAAGACAAAAAAATTCTGGGAGTATGCACTTCCAAACATAATCTGGGCTGGACAAGCAGGCCTGAGAACATTCTAGATTTAGGTATCAGAGTTTTAGGGCTGAAAGAGTCCCTATAGGTTACTCACTTATGTAGTTGAAGAAAAAAAAAAGACTCTTAGTGTTGTTAGCAACAACCATATCCTAAAGATAAAACTGCAGGCCAATGTACATTTTACTAGGGCTGAGGCTTGAACTGAGCCCCACTCTCAGCCCTTGATTTCTCAAGGCTTATGCTCCACTACTTCCAGTCCAGCATTTTACTGGTTAATCAGAGACAGTTTCCTGGACTTCTCTGCCTGGACTGGCTTGGAACTGCAATCCCCTGAGCCCCAACCTCCTGAAAAACTAAGATTACAGGTGTGAGCCCCAGCCCTAGGCTAACATGTAATCTTTTAACATCAGAAAAAGTAAGCTTTAATGTTTTATTGCATTTTATTTAATTTTTATAGTCATGCTGTAGTAGAAAATTAACAAAAGGAAACATCTAATACCAACCTACTCTGTGTGTGTGTGTCAAAATAGGCAAGTGTCAAAGCCTAGTCTTCAGTTAGGGGCCAACCTGGGCTACCGGGAGACTTGGTCTCCAGTACTCCCCCGCCCCATTAAAAGTAAAAGATGGGCAAAGCCAATGCTCCCAACTTAGCAGGAAGGAAACCCCGCGCACGGCCGCGATTCCAGGGGATGGCCCTTGGACTCCGGAGGTGGATCTGCTGCCTGACCTTTGCCCTGAGCCGGTCCGCGGCTCGCGGGCCTGACGCGGGGAGCGCTGAGCTTTGCATAGCTATGCCCTAAGCCGAGTCCCGGGTCCGCGGCCAGGCGGGGCGCGGGGCGCTCGGCCCTCGCCGCCCCACAGGCAAGGCTTCGCGGACCGCCTCGCACACGCCGCGTGTCGGGGCGGGGGAGAGCCTCGGCCGCGATCGCGGACGAGACACGTCGGTGGCGGCGGGCGGGAGCGACGTGGGGCGACGCCCACCACGCTCGGGGGACAGCGGGCAAGCGGCTCGGGCCGGAGGCCGCACACGGGGCGCCGGCTCCCCTCAGCCTGGCGGCCCGAAGCCCCCAGTCCTCGGCCCCCGCGCAAGCGACGCCGGGAAATGCCCACATCCGGGAATCCTGCAGCGGAGTGCGGCGGCGGCAGCGGCGGCGGCGACACGGAGTGGAAGGCAAAATGGCGGCGGAGGCGGAGGCCTGGTGCTAAGGGGAGAGCCCGGTCCCCGCGACCCCCGCGACGGGCCGCGCAGGGCCGCGGTCGGCCCCCGGCGTCTCTCCCCGCCCAGCCCTTCTCGAAGCCCTCTGGGATAAGTGCGGGGCTCTGGGACCGGCCTCCGCGCCGGCCCTCGGGCCCGTGGCCGCTGTCCAGGA